GTTGGTTTTCCGATCTAGTTTAGCCCTAATGGGAAAGTACCTCTTCAGAGTGCATTGCTAGCTATGACCTTTCGTATTCCACTGTATTCCTATATAAACCCTTGTACCGCATTGTATTCAGTCACATCTGTTGAGATTCAAGTCTTCTTTCTGCCGGGGTCCGACAATCACTAACAAACATTCCGCTGCTACACTACGTGCGATCAACCTGATATGATCCTATAAAGTCATTTCAGATTGTAGCACACACAATGGTTATCAAGCTGGTCCGCGAGATCCGCGTAGGACTCACGTGGAACCGCACATTTGAGCCATGTCCTTATACCCAAGTTTGCTCCCCTGGTTTCAATAACCTGTTTCCTTGCAATAAGGGGTATGGGGTAACGGTTTGATGTGGCGAAACTGGCGAACTTACCGATGGGCGACTTACCCCCGCAACATGTCGCGCATGTGCGTCAGTTACAGAAGAATCCTATTTTACACACAGTTGCACTCACGCGATGAGTATAATTTCGCATCAAGAATATTCTGCGGGCGTCTAATATTTTCGCCCAGGTTTCTGCTTTCGCTGAGGCTCGAAACTGATCGCGAGGACGAGGGCATCTTCAGGTGTCTCGGGAATTAGACGCCCGCAAAATATCCTGGCCGGGGGGCGAATCCATTATGAGGGAGATGGGAGGAGGGAAATTTAGGGCGCGTGTCCTTATACAGTAAATTGCAAAATTTTTAGTTTTAGTCTAACTTTTACCATTTGAACCTAGGTCGACCTAGGCTCGACTATATCGATTCAATTTGCTCGAGCCGCTGTTCCTCGCTCACATGTTCTCACATGGCACACGAGTTCAGCCATCAAGAATTCAACTTTATACAGTAAACCCCGAGTCGCGCTAAACTGTCGTAGGTTACTCAGTAGGTCAGTGCATTTCGTTACCGAATCCTGATTCGGTAACGTATCACGAACAAACTCGTTACAGTCGCGAGACTCGTGGATTTTCGTGCGTGCGCAGAAGAACACACGATTGGGAAATTTTGAACGTAAAAAATCGAGCTTAGGTCGACTCTAGTTCAGTGTCCAGCACCTTTCACACGGTTTTAACTAGAACACACGATTGTTTTCGCGAAACATTTTACGACAATGACGGAACTGGTTACCATCTAGAGTTCGACCTTTTTTTTACGTCTACACCAAAAGAAACATGCCCTTAGCGTGACTGCCGCTGTCATTCCGCGTAAATGGCCGGCGCGCATAGATGCGAGAGAATGCATAAATTCTGGCGTTGATATTTTTGACGGCCACCGTAAAGTAGCAATCTCGTCAGGGAGGGGGAGGGGTGGGAAGGGAGGGACCCCCGAATCGCAAGTACACATGAGGAGAAAACCGGTCGATTTTAGCCCGGATCTCGTCCGCAAATAGGCCCAGCGGAACCGTGACGGTCCCAAGTAACAAAACATCATGCAGTGAGGAACTCCGACAAATGCCCGTCAATGTCAGTTCAAACTTCCCTCACACGGTCGCGTCGCGGCGCACTGATGCATAAGTAGCCACCAGATCGTCATTTCTCCAGACGGTGCCGCGTCGTCGGTAGTAGCGAGCAAGCATGGGGGCAGCAGCAGCAGCATTAGTAACCTCCCTGAAATCTTCATCATCATCCTCGTCGGGGTCCTCGCCGTTTTGCCTTTCGCCGCATAGCAGTTTATCGGAGTTCGACAGTAATTTCGGTGTCGACTCAAAATTCCCATCACCTCTGCCTCTCGCGGCTCATTCCCGTGCTGCTCCTCGCCTTGCTCGCCTTCCCCGTCCTCCGCCTCTGCCCCATCCCAATCCTCGCTCGCTTGCCCCTCGAACCCCTCAACCACACGCCGCGTGACGGCGGCCTATCCCACTCCGCCACGTCAGACACCTCCCCGTTGCGGCTACTCCCACCTCCGCCCGTCGCCGCCGTGCTGCGGCTGGCCGTGAGCGGAAATCTTGAAAATCGCCGCAGTGTGTCGAGTCGCATGATGCGCGGACGAAATTCATTCAAGAAGTTTTTACAGCAGTCAAAGGCGCCGCGCGACACAAAAGAATCTCCTACACACTCGATAGAGCCACCGTTCGAGCCTAGACAGTTGCTAGGTGGCGAGTGGGCAGGTGGAGGAAGGCGGCAACTGGGGGAGGGCAGTGCTGACCTGCACGCGAGGCTGGCGCCGCTGTGGGACATGGCGAGTCGCGTGGCAGTCAACGGGACTGTCGTCATCGTGTCTGTCAACGCAGGCGAGTCATAAGGCATCGCAGCGTTTGGTAAATATTGCCCCGTATCACATCGTATCATGTCACATCACATCGTATCATATCACAACATATTGTATCATATCACAACACATCGTATCATACCAAAACACATCGTATCATATCACATCACATTGTATCATATTATACGTATCACATGGCATACATCGTATCACACCTGTATCGTATTCATGTCTTATCGTTCGTATCGTATCGTATCGTATCGTATCGTAACATAGCGTATCGTAACGTATCATATCAAATCGTATCTTATCTTATCATATCCCCCTTTCCCCCCACTCCTTCCCCCTGCCCTTTCCTCAGCATATGCTATCTGTCTGACCTGCCTCTGATCCCCCCATCCCCACCCCCCTTCCCCCCAGCAGGCCATGATGCGCTGCACGCCAACAAGGCGGGGCTGTGTGAAATGAGGTTGTTTTTGAGACGTCTCAAAAACACTCGCGTGAAATGAGGTTGTTTTTGAGACGTCTAAAAAACCACCTCATTTCACGTGGCTACTCTTTATCTGGTTCCTGTAGGTTTCTGCTCGCGTGGAAGGGAGTAAGGAGGGATTGGAAGACTTCTTAACAGCGTTTAGTTCTCTCAGGCCTACAATCAAGCTCACCTGGACGATCTCGGAAACCTCTGTAGTTTTCCTTGATCTCGTCATTCATAAGGGACAGCGTTTCAACCGCTCCGGTTTGTTGGACATTTCCACATTTCAGAAGCCTAACAATACTTATCTTTACCTTCCTTTTTCATCCTTCCATCCGCGGCATTGTAAAGAAGGTTTTATTCGGTCAGAGCTCAAGCGATACCTGCTCAGGAGTTCTAATCTCAACGACTTCTGCAGCATGAAGCAGACCTTCTTCAAGAGGCTACGCTCGAGGGGATATCCTCCCAGCTTTCTGCTACCTCTCTTTACAGCCATTTCCTTCAGCCAACGAGAAGAGCTCCTACTACGAGCTTCACAACGACAGCAGCTTCGATCTACAACGGGACCAGATTTGAGACCTCACGGACCCCTGGTGCTCAAGACTAACTACACCCCATTCAGTAAAAGTCTAGCCCTGGGGGTCGTTTTGAGACGTCTCAAAAACAACCTCATTTCACGTGGCTACTCTTTATCTGGTTCCTGTAGATTTCTGCTCGCGTGGAAATTACCCTCCCGCTTACGTCGAAGGCTGATACAATCGAGGATGCGACCTGTTACAGCCGAAACTCTTCGCAGCTGAACTTTTTCGCGCGGCATTCCGACCCAGGTTACCAACCTTCCCGAAGACTCCAATTTTTTGGTTCCGAAGGATCTGGTCGAAGATGTCTGCTCACCTCGAGATTGCATCGCTTTCATCGCCTCATCACTCACTCGTCATCTCATCCATCCCTGGTTAGGTGAGCCTTAGCGTAGCACAGAGTACTTTAGCTAGTCTATTCATTTCAGATTCTTATTCTCAGGCTTGTATGTACTGATGAAGGTCCGCAAGGACCGAAACTAGTTCACGCAAGTTCTGGATTAAGTTGACGATTTGTTTACACTGGCTCTCTAAGACAACGCTCTAAGCTCACTAGTTAACCGGGAAATCCACCCATTTCATCGGGTTTGTCTCGTCGTTTTAATATCCACACAAGTTGATGGATGTAAGACCTCTGCAGCCCACCTGTCTGCATTCGACCACCCCCCTTCCCCCCAGCAGGCCATGATGCGCTGCACGCCAACAAGGCGGGTCTGCGGGGCTGCGGGGCTGCGGGGCTACGGTCTCCTTCCTACACCAACCAACACTGACCTGCCTCTCACCCTTCCCACCGACCCTCCTCTCTCCCATCCCTCCCCCCTCCCACCCTTCCCCCCAAACAGGCTACAGGAGATGCTGGAGAATTGGCCGAGTATCAGTGACACGCCTCTCAACCCCCTATCGCATCCCCTTCGCCCCCCCTCCCCTCCCCCCCCCCCCCCCACACACACCTTCTCTCTTCCCCGGTTGTCCCCAGCAGGCCACCAGGTGATGCTGGAGAACTGGGCGCTGCATGCGGACAGGGTGGGCTTGCGAGGGCACTACATCATCTTTGCTGCGGACAGGCAGTGCTTCGACTTCGCCAACCACAAGTGGCCGGGGCAGGTGGGTGCACAACAAGTGGCTGGGGCAGGTGGGTGCACAACAAGTGGCCGCTTCTGCTTCTCACTGCTCTCCTCCCATGCCCACCTTGCTCTGTATCAATACCCCCTCCCATACTTCATTCCCGTCTCTTCCTGCTGCTGCTGCTGCCGCTGCTGCTGCCGCTGCCGCCGCCGCCGCTGCTGCTGCTGCTGATGATGATTCTGCTGCGTCCCCTCTGCCCCCGCCAGGCACTGCTCCTGGACTTAGAGGAGCAGTTCGTGCAGGAAGAAGGAAACGTGGACCTGTCCAAAGAGATCTAGTACCATTCCGAGGGCTTCCTCCGAGTGACCTCGCGCCGGGCCGTGTACATCCTGCACCTCCTTGCCTTTGGCTTCTCCGTCCTCTACTCCGACATCGACCTCGCTCTCCTGCAAAACCCCCTCCCGTACTTTGCTCCCCTCTCCTCCTCTCCCTCCTCCTCCGCCCCCCCCTCTGCCGCCCCTTCACCGGTTTCCAGCTCGCCTCCTGCCCCTGCCACACCGAAAGAATTCGATGTGTTCATCACCGCAGATCAAGCCTGGACGGACGGCCCAGATCACACGGTCAGTCTGGCGGAGCCAGGGCTGCCAACGCTCATGTGCTCGTGCTTCCTCTTCTTCCGCCCCACAGTGGGAGCCAAGGCGCTTGCTTCCCTGTGGGCATACCACATGGTGGCGAAGGGGAATGCGATTGGCAACGACCAGCACCATCTGCTCCATGTCATCAAGATCATGCAAGATGGGGGGATTGACGAAAACATCGGCGTGCTGCCCGGGAAAAGGTTTCCGTCGGGCGAGCTGATGCAAAGAGATTTGAAGGGATTCATGGGGATGAAGGCGGGGGTGGTGATGGTGCATGCGAATTATTTGATGGGGAAGCAGAAGAAGGTCAAGAGGTTGATTGATGCAGGGGTGTGGCTGGAAACGCCGCCGGCACCAGATGGAGGGAAGGAAGGCAAGGGAGGGGGGGGGAGTGTTGGGAGCGCCGACGGTGGAGGTACTGCTGGTGCTGGTGCTGGTGCTGGTGCTGATGGTGGGAATGGTAATGCTGGTGCTGGTGCTGTTGCTGATGCTGGTGCTCCTGCTGCTGCTCCTGCTGCTCCTGCTGCTGCTGCTGCTTCTGCTGCTGCTGGGGAAGGCAAGGAGGAGGGGCAGGGAGGCGAGGAGAGGGAGGAGGAGATGGAGAGGCGGTTGATGGGAGTGGCAGTGTGGGTGCCGTCACATGTGGATGCGGTGATAAGGCTGGCACCTGGAGTGGCCAGGGATGGACCGCTCCTTCTCACCGTGCTCTGCCATGGTAACGCCATGCTGGGGGGGTGGCGGGGTGGGTGGGTGGGCCACTATGTGTGGTGCAAGTGAGTTTTGAGGCGACTGTGGGTGGTGCACGTGGAGTCACCTACACATTTGGCATGCATGTTGTGGTGGTGCCTTTTCTTCTCCGTTTTCCTTCCCATACCTGCCATGCCTGCATCATAACATGTGGTACGATTGCACCCTGTGGTATGGCATGGCATGGCATGGCGTGGCGTGGCATGGCATGGGCACAGCAAGCGATTCGGACCTGTTCAGGAGTTGGCTGGGCTCCATTTCAAAACTCGGCCTCTCAACCAACTTCCTTGCCTCTCTTTCCAGCCAGGTGTGCCTCTGTTGCCACTCAGGTGTGCCTCTGTTGCCACTCAGGTGTGACTCTGTTGCCACTCAGGTGTGCCTCTGTTGTCACTCAGGTGTGATTCTGTTGCCACTCAGGTGAGCTTCTGTTGCCAGCAGGTGAGCTTCTGTTGCTGGTTAGGTGTGATTCCGGTCAAATCCTTATTCCGGGCCATGCCCTAATCCCTTGCCATACCCAGGCATCCTCAAGAATGCAGATTCCCCTTCCTTCTTCAAAATCCTTCTTGTTTCATAACTGATTGTTGTTCAAACTTTACCCCTAGATATATGCTCGTTCATCCACCCTTCTGTCCGTTGCCCGTCTCATACCTAGTGCACTTCCGTCCCCAATTGTCTGACGTGCAAAGTAGCTTCGTGCCTTGTCCGTCTCTGTACCACCCATCCCCCTCCTTGCCTCACTGCCCCCCTCCCTGCATCACTCGAGACCTCCCTCTTACGAGCCCCCTCTCAACAACCCCTTGTAAGCAGCTAAAACTACACTTCCTGTTCTAGCGTTTGTATATCTTTTAGTGACAATGCAACACTCCCTTCCTTGAGGTACCTTCACCTGGCAACGCTCCCGTCAGTCATACTATTCTCCAGCCTGCCTCTGCTGCTTCTATTCTATGGCAGTGGGAGTGAGGAGAAGGCAGGGGAGAAAGCATAGGAGAGGGAGAGGCTAGCATGTCTGCTGATGTCAACACCCTCCGTTGCACCCTTCCTACCTGTCAGCCGTGTCACCCTGCCGCTGCTGCTTCTATTGAGTCGGCTCAAAGTTCTTCTTCCCTGCTCATCTTCGCCCCTTTTCAACCTTCCTTCAGGTCCCTCTACCTGCCAACGCTCCTGCCAGCCATATTATTCGCCAACCTACCTCTGCTGCATCTACTGGCGGCAGTGGGAGTGAAGAAGAAGCTGGAGAGAAGGCAGAGGAGAAGGCAGAGGAGAGGGACAGGCTAGCGTGTCTGTTGATGCCGGCGCTGCTGGCCTCGCGCCTCCTTGCTGCCAACATCACGGTGCTGTTCAGGTGGGTGTGGTGCGGTTGACGTGGATTTGCCGTGAGTGTGCCCATCTCTCCTGTGGTCTTCCTTGGCACAGCCACATGTCATTGGCACAGCCACATGTCATTGGCACAGCCACATGTCATTGGCACAGCCACATGTCATTGGCACAGCCACATGTCATTGGCACAGCCACATGTCATTGGCACAGCCATGTGTCATTGGCACAGCCACGTGTCATTGGCACAGCCACGTGTCATAGGCACAGCCAAAACATCACATAACATGGACCTTTTTCTAGCTGATTGCTTGAGTGTTGTAATGGCTGTTGGCTTGCAGTTTGATTGCCCAGAGGGGCTGAGTATCACATCCTTGAGTATCACATCCTTGAGTGTCTTGACCATTGCTCTTCTATTAACTAACCAATCTCTCCCCCTTCCCACCACCACCCACATCAGTGACCCGTGTACTGCATGGCTTCGCAATCCCCTGCCTTACCTCCCTGCCAACTTCTCCGTCCTCCTCCCCTCCACCTCCCACTCCCCCACCCTTCCTACTCTCAACATCACCACTCCCACCCCTCTCGACCGATCCCACCTCGGTTCTCTCTCCCCCTGGCTGTTTCTGCTGCGCCCCTCCTCTCGTTCCTCCTCCTCCCCTCAACCCCCTTCATCGCACTCCCTCGCCCTCTCCTGGGGGTTACAAGTGTTCAAAACCCTGCCCAAAGAACCTTCTCTTTTGGGCAAGGCCGAGGGAGATGGGGGGAGCACACCCCTTGCCTTGACTGTGGCAGTGCAGAGTGCCTTCAATCATGCAATAGCCCGTGTGCTGGAAGCACAGGGTGGCGGGCCATGGGCAGGTGATGGGGCAGGTGAAGGGGCAGATGAAGGGGCAGATGAAGGGGCAAGCGAAGGGGAAGCTGGTGAAAAAATCACGATCGGGGTTCTGCCTGGCGGGTTGTTCCTGCCAAGTTCGGTGGTGTGTGAGGAGAAGCAGTGGGTGCAGCAGCATAGGGAGGAGGTGGTTGCGTTTCACAACAACTGTGGGGTTAGCAAGGAGAACAAAGTGTCGATCCTGAAAGAGCTCCAGCTGTGGGTGGATGGGTGATGCACGTGGGGTAGGGGGTTAGCATCTTAGTTCAATCATTTTTAAAGTATAAGAAGAGGCGGTGAGAGAAGCAGCAGTGGGAGACATAATGGCGCCAGCAGGAGAGCAAGGTGGCAGTTGTCGCGCTATTAACACATAGCCACTGTGAATTGTTTGGCAGCTATATGTGAGGTTGTGCTATATTGTTGCTTTTGTCTCTTTTGTTTGTGTGGTTGGCATGTGCTGTACATATTTGTTTCAGAGCCGAGTTGCTGGGTAATTAAAGGAGGTTGGTGTGGGCAGGAACGAATTCAGTTCCAGGCTGGAAGTTTTCCTATCAGCCAGGCTTCAGGTCAGGGCCCAGAATTGGTTTAGGCCTACCCTTACAAATCAGGGTTCCAGCCCCTCCTTAGCCCGACCCCTAGGGTAAATCAACCTATAGCCTGATTTGAGCAGGGTAGTTTTAGGCTAAGCCTGTTTCGGCTACTATTTTGTGAGCTAAGTTTTTTATACTAACATAATAAAGTAGCACTCACAACAGGGTCTGTCAGGGCGAATTTCTTGTGCAAGGGCGAATCTGCTCGTGTCAGGTTGTTCCGCTGTGATTGGGCAAAGTTTCTGCTCTCTGACAGCGCAAAACTGTGATTGGGCGAACTTGCTGTGCTATGACACCACGAAACTACTGTACCGTGCGACAATTCTTGTTTGTGGGGGTGTGGAACGTTTTGTCACCACGCGGACTGTGGACTGATTCGCGTTAGAATGGTTTCGGTAAAAGGGTAGTGTTCACCCTACCCTGATTCCATCAGGCTAACCTAAAAACCTATCAGTGTAAAAAAAACACATGCTCTTTTTAGAGAAGGGTAACTATCGGCCATTCCTGATTTCGGCAGGGTATTCCTGAAAAAGCGGCCGGCCCCCAGGGTAATCAGGGTGTTTTACCCTGATATTTTGGGCCCTGCTTCAGGTGTGTTTTCACGTGTTTCAAGCTGACATGAAAACTTCCCGAATCTCATCCAGTAACACTGAAAACACACCTAAACCTAAAGAAAACACATCTGAAGCTCATCTCAAACCACCTGAAGCTCATAGAACTAACCTGAAGCTCATCAGGAGGAATGGAGCGGAGGCAAGTCAGGGCTTCCCTCAGGTACACTCGCACATTTGAATAAAGGCAGAAAAACCGTTCCCTCTGCTGCTGCGAGCAGTTTCACCTGCAACAAGTTGAGATAAAAATGAGGCGGATCATGTTTTGAGTCAACTCAATACATAACAGTAGGGATGAGCAAGGGGCGAGCACGAACGTGTTCGCGTTCGCCCATGCACGAACACCCCTGTTCGGCGAACCGAACACTGTTCGGTTCGGCGAACACCTTAAGCAAAAACAGGTGTCCACCGTTCGCCTATGAAGGCGTGTTCGGGTAAACCTCGAGCACGTTCGTGTTCGTCGCTGGGCAAATTGCAGTAGAGGCCCGAACACGAACGTGTTCGGGCGAACCTCGAACACTGTTCGGTGAACATTTTAAGCCAAAAATATTCGAGGCGAACCGAACAGGTGTTCGTTTGTTTGCTCATCCCTACATAATAGTTCCCTCTGCTGCTGGGAGCGCTGTCACATGCAACAAGTTGAGACAAAATGACGCAGATCGCACTTACAAGAACAGCAGGCAGGCGTCCTTTGCTGCTGCCAGCACTGTCACATGCGGCGAATGAATTTGCTCTTCCTCCCTTACACGCAAAAAATGCATGAAAACCAAAGTGCTGCCTTTTCAGATCCCTCCATCCCCGCACAGCGTTTCCTGTAGAACTCGTAAACACAAAAATTCGGAATGCTTCTTACTATCTCACCCTCTTACTCAGCTCACCCTCTGACTCACCTCACAAGTCCACTAACCTCACAAGTCCACTCACCTCACAAGTCTACTCACCTCACAAGTCCACTCACCTCACAAGTCCACTCACCTCACAAGTCCACTTACCTCACAAGTCGACCACATGGGAAGAAGTTTCGCTGCAAGACCATGCTATTGAGATTATGAGACACACACTAAAGCACATCAAAAGCGCATCAAAACAACCTTAAGCACATGAAAAAACTCCGGAATTTCTTCAAAACACATCTGAACCTTACCTGAAGACCATCAGCTAAGCCTGTAAAAGAATATTCGTATTCGTTAACTATTCGATATTCGCTTCGAATACCTCATTTCGTAAGAATAGAATACGACGGAGTATTCGTCAATATTCGCTTCAGAGGTAATCGTAGAATAGGAATACCGGGTCAAGAATATTCGGGGTATTCGATACTATTCTCTATTCTGACATTAGGGTTTAGGGTTTATATGACCATGCAATTTACATCAACTTTTGCAGGGAACGGTGATACTGCCAAGTATTTAAGTTGTCCAGATTTGACGTTTTATATCTGCATCACCCGTCTTTTACTTAAGTTGCGACATCATGAAGGACATCGTAAAATGTGTACAGTTGTATGTTGTATTATTATTATGTGACATAAAATGTCATACAGACGAGACAGTTTCTTTATTAATGCAGGGTGTATTTATATTTCACAAAGTCATGGTAACCGCGCAACAGCACCCACACATTTTTAACGGATTTCTGGCCGTTTGCCGCCCTGCCGAAAATTGCGGTTTCCTGATATGCGGCGGCTGTTGTTGACGGGGACTCAACCGACGTGTCAGGCAACAGTGCACGGAGCGCCTTTGTCATGTCAGCAAAAGTGTGTCAGAATGTTATTCTCTAGCCTGTAGTGGGGTGCTCTATAGCGAGTACAACCCATCTAGGGTTTGTCAGAATCACTAGGCAAGAATGGATGAACTAACAGAAGTTTGGGTACAAATATGAAACCCTAGTTGGGGTTGTACCCCATATTGGCTACCCCACTACAGCCTACAAGCATAATACAGTTTAACACACCCCCATAGGCAAAGTGGGGGAGAACAAAGGGTCACAAGACCAGTCCAGCAAAGCAAAACAAAGCCCAGGGTGGATCACAACGTCACCACACTCCGAGCACAAGTAAAGGCCACAAGGCCAGTTCACATGCAGTGCTAGATATAGTACAAGACAAGTAACACAGTGATCAAAACCTAGCAAGCAAGCAACAAGATATATATAAAGTACAGTACAAAGAATGTCAAGCAGTGAGCAAGTGAGGAAACGTGGACACAAGGCCTAAAGAAGTACAGTGCCGCTGATGATCACTAGGCGGGAGCGCCTTGGTGAAGATATCAGCAGTGTTGGCCTTCGAGTCCACGTACACAAGCCGAAGCTGACCGCGCTGCTGAAGCTCTCGAGCAAGAAAGTAGCGAAGAGCAATGTGCTTCGTCCTGTGCTCCAGTCTGTGCTCCTGACACAAGGCAAGAGCCGCCTTGTTGTCACCGTACAGAACTGGAGGAGAACTAGGCCGCTCTCCCAAGTCAGTCAGCAGGTAGGTGAGCCAGCGTAACTCCTGTGCAGCCATGGCTGTGGCGTAGATCTCAGCCTCACAACTAGAGCCGAGAACAGAGGAAGAGCGGGTGGACCGCCACGAGACAGAACCTGAGCCAAGGCTGAAGGTGTAACCCTGTGACGGCCGCTGCGTAGCCAGGTCGTCCACCCAAGAGGCGTCCGAGTGACCAGTGAGGACAACTCTGTCGCGTCCTCCAAGCACCAGCCCCATGCCTGATGTACTGCACAGGTAACGCAGCACCCTCTTAGCAGCCTCCCAGTGCTCTCGCCTGTGTCTCCCAGGCGCAACGTAACGAGCAAGGATGCTAAGAGGGTATGCGAGGTCAGGTCGCGTGCAAGTCATCAGGTACATGAGGCAGCCTACAAGCTCTGGGTACGGGCCACTCGGCTCTACGGACTCGTCCGAAGGTGGAGCTGAGAGCGAGTGGCTGGTAGCCAGAGGTGTGGCCTGTGGTGAGGAGAACTGGAAGCCGAAGCGCTGAAGGACCTGCTGCACCATGTGTGACTGAGTCAGGGTGATGGTGCGGCGAGCTCTGTCCCGGGTGATCTGCAAGCCAAGGTAGCTACGCAGTTCACCCAGGTCAGTGCAGGTGTGTCTCTTCTGCAGCTCCGACTTCACACGAGCGAGTGCCTCAGTGTCAGCAGTAGCAAAGACCAAGTCGTCGACGTACACGAGGATGTAGAACGGCGGCAGCGACGTGTCTGTGCGCAGAAACAGCGACGGGTCAGCAGTAGACGGCGCGAACCCAAGAGCCGCAAGAGTAGTCCTCAGTGTGTCGTGCCACTCACGTGGCGCCTGGCGGAGACCGTAGACTGGCCGGCGGAGACTCCACTGGGTACCAGGGGGAAACGACCCAGTAAAGCCAGGTGGGCGGCGCAGCCAGATCTCCTCGTGTAGGCTGCCCTGTAGGAACGCTGTGCTGAAGTCAAGAGAGTGAAGCTCGTAGTCACGCTGAGCAGCAACGTGCAGCAGAACCCGAAGAGTGGTCATCTTCGGGGTGGGGGAGAAGGTCTGGAAGAAGTCGACCCCCTGACGCTGACTGAAGCCTCTAGCAACGTAACGAGCCTTGAAGACAGGCGGAGAACCTGGCGGCCGCTTCACCCTGAAAATCCACATGCCATCGACGATGTTCGCCCCAGGAGGGGGAACCTCGTCGACGTAGGTGCCTGTGGACTTCCAGGATGCCATCTCTGCGTCCATGGCTGTCTGCCACTGAGAGGAGTAGGGACCCGAGATCGCCTCTGCGTAAGTGCGCGGAGTGGGGATGTCTACTGCATCCGGGTCTCCCTCAGGGGCAAGCAACCAGGCCACGAGATGAGGTACAGCAGCCGCAAGAGAGTCAAAGTCCTCCTGCCTGTCCTCAAGGACGTCCGTGCCAAGAGCACACTCACCCCCGACGGACGGAGGACAGACAGACGCAGACTCTGACTCAGCGACAAGGCTAGCAGCGTAGTCTAGACGACAGGCAGCAACAAAGTCAACCAACTCAGCGACCAGAGCAGACGCAGCCGAGGACTCAAAGGTGGGGTCAGTGACAACAGTAGCA